TTTTTCAGAAACATCAAATACTGTGAGTTTTTGGGGAAATTAGGGGTGACTGTATCATTTGGCGACGCACTGTAGTTGAGCTTAAGTCTGCACAGTCAAGCTTTCGGTTTTTACTTTTCGTCAAATTCTTGAAGGCTATTCCAAGAAGCATTATTTTTCCCCGACGTACTGCTTAACCCTGAATGTGACAATTCATAGTAACTAGGACCCATGCTGACCCATTTCTAATCTTTGCAAAATACGCCCACCTAAATTCTCAAAAATCAACTCACATGACATCGACCTTGCATAAAACAAGTTATTTTAGTGCAGTGTCAAAAAGGCATTTTTTCTTACCTGCTTCTGATAGGTAATCCTTCTGGTTAAGCTCTATTTCTTCACGCACTTCCTGTAGTACGGCTTGTTGTGACAAAGATCTTAACAGCGGTTGCACAGCAGTTGCTGATTGAGACGAAATTGGAAATAAAACGAAGTGAATACCTTGCATGAAGGGGAAAATTCTGCGACAACTGTGCGAGAACTTCTAGGGCATTCTCTTGCTCCACGTCGATAATGCGCTGAGCAGCCTGTGTGATTTGCATGAGTATGACAGCAACTCAAATAACAAACTCTGAACCACTATTCACCTACTTACTTCGAATTAATAGAAGAGGGAAACGCCTTCCACCTAATGCGCACTATAGACTCCTCTGCGAGTAGGGTTGGTTTGAAGGAGTCACTCGAGTTCTNTGCAAATTTCCGCCACAAATAAATACTCTTATAAATTACTAGCAGTGCAGCTTTCTGCCGCAGCCAGGTTATTTTCTGGACAACAATTAAGCTATGGTAGAACACGGCCACGGTCCTTACTATCCTTACTATATAAAAACCACAAAACCTGTTTGTTCGTTTGTCTGTTTGTCCGCTGGCAGCCATTTTATATGGTCCCTTTTGGAAATCGAACTGGACCAGCTGTGCCAGGTTGAAACAAAAGGGTAATGAGCCGACCTACTTGAGAACATGTGACCCAAGCTGGGCTCCGCCCTCTAGGGGCGGGGCCTGCGCAAGAAGTGTGGTTCGCCGGAAATCTACGACTCCTGTTCTCCCAAGGATGGAGTGATCGAATATGGAAGGGATACAGACGGCGAGATGGAAACATTAATATTAGGTAGCATGTTTGGACTCCGCCCACCGAGAGTGTGGCTTGCGCGAAAATTGCGAATTTGGAACAATTTGCACCTGGAGCGTTTAAATTCGGTAGAGAGGCAGACGGCAATTCAGGAACAGTATGTTAGGTAACATGTGTAGACTCCACCCACTGCGGGCGGGCCTTGCGCGAAAATTGTTAATTTGGACCAGTTCGCGCGTGGGGCGTTCCAATTCGGTACAGATGGAGGTGGCCAGATAGGAAAACTAATAGCAGGTGATATGTGTAGACTTCGACAACTGGGGGCGGGGCTTGCAAGAAAATCGTCAATCTGGACAATCCGCATCTGGAGCATTCAAATTTGGTAGAGGTGGAGGTGGTAAGGTAGGAAAACTAGAGGAGGGTGGCAGGACTTGAGTCCGGAGGGGAGATGGGCAAAGGGAAAGTGGGGAATCGGGAATCGACAATCGTGTCTAAAGGCTTTTTTAACTTACGTGGTGTTAATCCACAAATTTGCTCACTTAATTGGGATCATCCTCATGTGTGGTAGGGATACAATTTCTCTCCCGGTAAATTATCCCGCTGGGAGGATCTAATGTGTAGGTGACCGCTCGGTCGCAATTGTTTCTTTGGTCGTGCAGAGTCCCAACTCTTAGAAAGTTGGGGAGACGTGCTGGGATTGAAGTTATAAACGTAACGATCGGTAGTAGCAACCGATTCTGACCAGTGTAGTTTTGTGCTACTTGATATAGGGATGCTACTAATACTCATTTTTTCGAGAAGGAAGGAAGGGGGGGGGGGGGGGGGGGGGGAGGATAATGTTATAATGGTCTCACTGAGGCGTCCAAACTTCAAAATATGAAGGAGGGGAGCCCGGCATAATTCGGGCGATCCGACTGTCTTATACAAAACCCATTCACTATGTGTAGAGAGTTCTACTCTTCAGTCGGGCGAGGTTTTCACCCTTTTGCCGCATCAGTGCAGAAGACTTATGTTTTTGAAAGTGAATTTAGTGTAAAACTTTTGCGCTTACATGCTTATCACGATTCATCTAAAAACACATTGGCCAACGACATCAACGTGATTGGTATGATATCAAATGCCTACTTCGACGATAAAACATATAAGGGCGAATAAATTATTATTTCATCTCCGGTGAAGTACAGGACGTAAGGGGTAAACAAGAAAGTAAACGATTTCTAGACTCTTTGGTGATTTTTCGATTATCTCGGCGAAGATATGGATGCATAAGCGAATGCAGATGATTGTCATGAGCAGTTTTCAAGAATGTATGTGCGCTCTCGATAGATAGACGGCTTATGACGCTATTAGATGGGTTTAAACGGTTCTTTCCACTTTTCGGAAGGGGGCAGCACTATGTTGCTAAAACGGTTACGCTCCAGATTTTTTCCAAGTAAATTAATTTATCGGAAGCCAAGAGATGCGCATGGTACCGTGCGCAGGTCAACTGGTCTGATATGAAGCCTACTTCATCCCTAATATCATAAATCACGAGTTTAGTAAGTTTGTTCTCCTGTCGCCACTAAGTGAAACAAAGCTAATTGTAAGTAGCTAAGCGAGTGAGCAAATTTCCTTACTGTGTTCCTCCTGAGGCATGTTTAAGAAACCGGGAAAAAAGTAAGCAGAAGTTGTTCAAGGTTGAAACCAACCATGATAGGTTTAAGTAACATCAAGTTAGCGGAGCTTATATAAAAAATCCTCATTCAGTTTCAAAAACACTACAGACCTTGAGAAGAGAGTAGAGGCCTCCAATGTGTCGAAGATGAGATAGACTTCAGAATGCGTGGAGCTCAAATTAGAAACCTGTAGGCCTGCTCGAAGACACGAGGGAAGCTGGAGAATGTGGGTAGTACAGCAAGGGAATAGATGCCGAATTCCTTCAAATGCAGAATGTCTAATCATTATGAAAGCAAGAGTGAATGATGCTATTGTGATCACCCGACACCAACAGAGATAAGTAGCGATCTGCGTGTAACCGAAGCCTGTTCATATCTTTGCCCTCCCTAATACAATGCCTTCAGGTATGATGGAAGTTGCTGTGCGGTAGAACGGTCGGTACCGATCAATACTGATGAACATCGTAATAGTTCAATCGACATTGTATTCAGAGCGTTTTTTGAAAATAGAGCTTTCAAACACTGGAAGGAAAGGAGGACGTTACACCGAAGCTGAACAGGTCAATGTCAAACGGAGGGGACCGGTAAAACAGTCGGATCACACGGCTGAGGCCGGGCTTCCCTCTTTCTCGTGTTGGAATAGCCTCCACGCCCGCACCTTTTTCAAATACAAAAGCTTCGATAGATGAGAATAGGAGTTATTCATCTCCGGCCAAAAACACAAGCACCCTATACAATTCGTACGCGCCCCGTCCGCAAAGAACAAACCTCCTTAGGTTCTGTGTGTTTGAACTCGATTTATTTCAGACTTATTCAACCTTGGTTTCGAGATTTCGCTTTAACTCCCAATTAACATTTTTGTTGCACGCCTCGCCTCTTTTGAGTGGAGTTAAGTCCTGTCGCCCAACATAGGAGCTCCAATCCTGCCGTCTATATCGAACATGAGCGCTCTAGATCCAAGTTCAAATTTTTTGCATAAACGCCCAATGTGGGTGGAGTCCGGTCCTGCGACCCACCATAAAGCTTCCCATTCTGTCACCTGTACTCCTACCAAGTTTGAACGCTTCAGGTCCACGGGAACCGGAGTTATGACTT